CCATATTCAAAATTACAATTGCCACCTCCCAGTTGGAATGCCTCACTTCCCCTCCCTGGTTTTATTTTTCTCCATTGCATTTATTACCACCTGCCATATTATTTTTCATGTCTGATTTATTGTGTCTGTCCCCACTAGAATGTAAGCTCCCTTAGGACAAGGGTTTTGGTCTATTGTTCACTGAAGTTTCCCCCAGGCTCCAGAATAGAGCCTGATAGGTGGTTAAGTTTTCAAAGAATAGTTAAATGAAAGGAACCAAGCTCGGAAATGACACTCAGAGAAAGAAAGCCAGCAATGAAAACAAAAAAAGGAGACAGTGACAGCTGCACCAGTCTAGCTTTGCTAATGGATGATACGCATCTAAGGCTTAATTACTAATGACTAATAAGCTACAAGTTCAGCTGTGTTTTCCCAACACTAAGCCATATCTTACTCATCTTTATATCCCTCCTTCTTGGTACATAATAAGCACTAATAATTGAATGGAAAAGACTTGCTTGACTAAAGAAGAGAGGACTTTGGGAAGAAAACTAATAAAGTTGGAGCCTTAATGGGGAATTGGGTTGACCCTTATACAGGAGAAGGTGTTCTCTAAAATATGTTTGTTTCAACACAAGGAAAGTAAAACCTCATTCATTTTTAAAAACAATTGAGTTCCATGAAGTACTGATGCTCTAGTTATCTTAAAATAGGTACCATTTTGGGGTGGTGAAGGCCTCAAACCACAGTGTCAACACCATATCTATCAGTTGTCATCAACAAGGCATCACCAATTGGGGAGAGGATGAGTGGAGAGGGCTGCTTCCTATTAGAGCCAAACCACTTGAGAAGGAAGCAATGAGGCAAGGACTTAACATAAATCATTCCCTATCCTATCCCCTCAGGTCCTGCTTTTAACTCACTAAACCATATAATATAGAAGAATAATACCGACAATAAGCACAGTGCCGTTGAATAACAGGGACTGTGAGCACTGCTGAGGGCTTTAAAGCCACGTCATCACCTGTGAGAAATTTAGCTGTAATTCTCTTCCTATATTTAAGATCAAAATGGTGGCTTTGACCCTTTGTGCTCTTTAATAAAATCTTGGGTTGTCAGAAAAGTCATGATGTATTTTTTTCTATGTTTTTCATTGCAAAAATGAGTCATGACTTTTCCGACAACCCAATATTTTCACTTTTCCACAATGTATTCCACAAGCCATACTACTCCCTGCTGGCATCGACCAAGCAAACTCCATATATATACTATTTATGTGCTGCTGGAGTATGCAGTTATCAAATATGTATAAAAGAACCATTGCATCAAGAGCGACATATTAGATGTTCAGAAAATAAGAAGAAACATAAGACATAGTCTGCCCCCAAGAGGTTTATTATCTAAGGGGAGCCAAGGCACAGCAAGTAGAAACAGAGCTATGTTGGATGGGTGCCAGTCTTAACTAAGAAATTGAGTAAACAAAATTGCTTTGACCTGACAATGATGTCATTCATACAGATTGCTGTTCAGATTGAAATTAGATGAAGCAGTGTTGCGTTATAGAGCTGGGAGAACTAGGTTTTAGTACCAGCTCTACCGCTAAATCCCACGGACAGTCATCTAGATTCCTTGAGCCCCACCTCCCCTTTTTTGGGAATGGGAGTTTTTTCACCTCTTCGACTCCACAAATGCCAATCTGAAAACCTCCCCCATTTCCATCTAAAACATGCCATGATTTAAGACTTTTTGACTAGAGAGATAAGTGGCATCTCTTTCTCTCTCTCTCTCTCTCTCTCTCTCTCTCTCTCTCTCTCTCTCTCTCTCTTTCTCTTTCTCTCTCTCTCTCACTCTCTCGCACGTGCACACACACACAAATGTGTTTTTCTTACTCTTTCTATAGTATGATAGGATTTATTCAAACCTGGCTTGAATCCCAGCACACCCAATTCTTCTTGTTTAGACTCATTAATATAATGAAAAGCCCTACGCATTGAGTACATTCCCAAATATGATTTATCTATATCTCTTGCTTTGCTTTCCTCATTTATCAGTATGTCTCTCAACGCACTGTTCATTCAAATGAGAAGGCAAAGAAAAATGACAGGGCCATCATTTCCCTTTATTTCACTAGTGTTTGTGTAGTAGACATCTCTTCTAATACAGCAGATTCAGGTACAGCTCTGATCAAATAGTCTTGCCTAAAAAAGCAATTATCAGTAAAACCTGATGACCAGAAGATTTTTAATCCTTTAACCTCACTCCAGCATGATAATAATTTTTTAAATTCAAATAACAATACTATAAGAAGCTTGTTTTATAACTATGCCTGGGGTGTTATTTCAGGAGTTCCTGGGGGGAGGGAGGCTCATTTTTCACTGTCCTTTTTTACTACTTGCACATTTATCATGTGCCTGTGTTAAGTTTTATTATAATAAAACTTAAAAAGCAATATTGGCCAACACTTATTGTGCATTTACTATGTGCCAGGCCTTTTATATGCATTACCTCATGTAATCCTCCCAACAACCCTAACACAATTTTTTTCAGTTTCTCCATTTTGTAGATGAAGAAATGGGGGGTTAAAAACACATTCAAGGACATACATCTATTGTCTCCCTACTGATGCGGAAATAAAATTATATGCTGGATATAAAAATGCTACGAGAAGTTAAATAACCATACAAAGGTGAGGCAGGAGTGTACTATCAATAAAGGAACATGTTTATTAGGTAGATGTTGGCCAGGCTTGCAACACTAACTCATGCTGAAATTTAGGCCCGGCTCCATCCAGCCTTATAATCTCCAGGTTTTAACTTGTTCATTCTATAGCTTCCATTTCTCAACCATCCTGTTAAAGGATTTGATTGGAATTGGAGGTTTTCAACATGGGGAAGTGGTATAAGGTGACCCCGTTTACCAAAACTGGCCTCCCCATTCCTGTCAATCAGAAGATCAGTGATGTGTTATTTGGGATCTCTTGCCTTCTCACACCTGCAGAAATGAATATGGACCTTTAGAGAACACAAAACATATTGTGGAACATCCTCAAGTTTCCAGGTGTATGAACTGGGTCAGCTGAGGCTGCCTTTGGGACAGAAATCAGGATTTTAAAGGCTAAGAGTTTGAAATCAGCGTATCAAAGGTCTGGTTCTTTTCAGCAGATTATCTCTCTTTAAATACCTGGCAGATGGAAATAAGCTTCAAAGAGTGACAACAATTATTTTAGCAACATATATAAGTATAGCAAGTGCTTTCTGTGCCTCTCGGATTGTATTTTCATTTTGTTTAATTTTCATATCTAGCTGAGACAAAAATTAGGGGAAGTAGGCATGTTTATCTGTACTATATATAACATAGCTGATTTCCAGTGGCAAGGTGTAGTAATTCACACGCTAGTGTGAACCTCACAGGTACCACATGCTCATTCTGTAGACTTTTCCCAATCCTGTCATTAGTTTTAGTCTGTAAATGACCATAAGCCTCTCCAGAAAGCTCCCATCTTGTGAACAGATTGGCTTTCCAGGATATATTTTTTTTCCAATCACTGTTTCTTCTACCAACATTTATTCTATTTATTGAGGACCTACTAGCAATTGGATATTCTTCTAGGTGCTGGAGATAGAGCTAAGCACAAACAAAACAGGCAAATAATCCATACTTATAATCTAGTTAGGGCAGAGAGGCAATAACAAAATAAGTAAGTAAATTATATAGTATGTTAGAAGGTAATGAGTGCTATGAGAAAAATTATGCAGGGAGTGCTGGAGGCGAGGGAGTTGCAAGTTTATATAGAGTTCTTAAGGAAGGGCTCACTGAGAAAGCGACATTTGTGCAAAGGTTTGAAGAATATGATCTGGAGGACAACTGTTCCAAGCTGAGGGAATAGTAAATGCAAAGGCCCTGAGGCAAGAGTGTGCCAGGTCTGAGGAGGAATTGCAAGGAGACCAGCAAGGTTGGAGCAGTAGGAGTGGGAGATACTGGAATGGTAATGTATGTGCTCAGGAAAGTAACAGGGGCCAGATCCTGTTGGGCTTTGCAAACCATTGTAATGACTTTGGATGTTTTTGCGTTTTTTTTTAGCTGAGTCATCCTGCCACCTGTTGGCAGCTCAGCTTGGGCTGGACTTGAATCGCTGTTGCTCAGAGCTCGCACTCTTGCGCAAGCTCTTAACCAACTGAGCCACTCTGCTGGCCCCGACTTTAGTTTTTTAACTCTGTGTGAGATGAGGAGCAACTCAAAGGTTTTGAACAGAGGAGTGATAACAATCTAACTTCAGTTTATTAAAGAAATAATATTACTTGTGGAACAGGTTCGCATAATGACCCACCAAAGCCTGTTAAAACCATATTACCATTGTACTAAGGTGCTAATCAGACTCTAAGACGCTCAGCTCAGAGCACTGGATTTAGACCCAAGAGGTGGGGGTGTTGACTTATAGCTCAACTGGGTGACTTTGAGCATGTCAGTCAACACCTCTGAGCCACATTTCTTCATTGGAGAAGTAAGGATAAACAGTGCCCACCCCCTGGCTTTATTTTGAGGATCAAGTAGAAAGGGAACGTAGAAACACTTGTAAAACACTATATAAATGCCAGGAGGGGTGGTGAGAGCAACAGTGGCTGGGGTTGTGTCATTATTATTTCAGGGAAAATTAAGTCCAGGACCTAAGTCAAAATGCCAGGAATGCAACCTACCCTTCCCCATTTCTTCTTACTAAATAGCCATGGAAATGGGGCCTCCTCCTACTCCAGCATTGGAGGGCAAGGAGAGAGACAGGACCCTGCTGATCTCAACAGAAGGTGCCATTCAGACTCCCAGCTGACCATTCATAACTTACAGGGTGTTTATAGACCCCAGCCTTCGCCCTTGGTGGACCTGTTGCCAAGGGGTCGTCCTAGTGAAGAATCATGGCTTCCCTCTCGTGGGCCCTGTGAGCCTCCCCAGTTCAGGCTGCAGGGCATTAGGCTTTCCTCAGATGGGCAACTTCTCTAAATAACCACAATCCTCTTCTTTCCCACCAGGCATTCCTCCTACGGAAGGCTTCTGGATGATCACGACTATGGGTCCTGGGGAAACTACAACAATCCTCTGTACGACGACTCCTAACAAAGGAACGTGGCCTGGGATGAGGAAGAACTGCTCTTTATTTATAAGTGCTTATCCAGTAGAATTAATAACAAGTATCTGACATGCATCGAGCGACAATCTTAAGCCCTGTTTTGTTGGTTTGGTTGTCTTGTTTTCCTCCCTCTCCTCTGGCTGCTACAACTTACCCTTTCTGGTACAAAAAGAACTATTATTCGAAGGTGAGTGGAGGCTGATTTGCAGCTGACATGGGCCAACCTTGAGCCGGTGGCGCCAGACTACCTTGATGGAGGCTTCTGTACCCACCACGGGACCCACAGCAAGAAGGACAGAGGGAGAGGAATTGAGTTGTTTTGTTGGGGGTTAATTTTGGGGAGAGCTTTTTGTTTGTGGTATTTCTGAAACTCTTCTTTAGGAAATTACATTAAATCTCAATGAGAGGAAAGAAAATGAGTACTGGGAGGATTTCGCCCTGCAGGTGAAGAAGCAGGGGTTTCTCAGATTCCTTTTAAATCTCTGTTTAGCTCGTGGTGTCTGACAAGATGCCTGCTTGGCTCTGTACAAGCTGGATCCCAGCTTCTTAGCTGCCTAATTAATGAAAGAGGAAACTAGAAAGTGCCCAGGAGGAGGCCTGCAGGCTGAGGAGCAGAGGAGCAGGTTGCTGCCAGATCTCAGCGTACCCTCTACCTGTTCTCCCCCCACCCCCACCCCCGCCACCTGTCTCCACGAAGGATGCCTGTCCCAGTCAATAGTAGCTGGGGTCCCAGCGCGCACGGTTCCACAAGAGAAAACTCTGAGATGAGCTTAGTTAGAGAAGCTGGTGGAGTACACAGCAGGGGGAGTGGAGAAGGGAGGGAGCTGACACACACTGAGTACCTCATTAGGGAAAGTGAGAATCTGTTCTCAGTAACTGTCAGAGGCATCCACCACTTGGAGAAGCCCATTGAATCCTTGCTTTAAACCCACAAAGCAACTGGTTCACTGCCTTACTGTCTGTTGGATAATGGCTGTAAACTGTTTTTGAAAAAAAAAAAAAAGGTTTTTTTTTTAAGACTCTAGTCTATCTGCAGTTGCTCAGTGAGGCATTTCCATAAGAAACAGACACCGTGATTAATCCATTTATTCCTCCTGTACATTTAGCTTACTAATTCTGCCCTTTAAGAAATGAAAACCCCTGGTTAGATAGATAGTCTTAAAATCCTGCATAATGAATTTTGAGAAAGAATAATCATTTTTGCAGGTACCCATTTATTATAATGGCTCTCAACCAGCAGGCAATTTTGCATCCCCGCCCCCCGCCCCCCAAACTCTCCACCCCTTACACATTTGAAAATGTCTGGTGACATTTTTATTGTTACAACTTGGGGGTGTTACTTGTGGGCAGAGGTCATGGATGTGCTAAACATCCTACAATTTACAGGATAGCCACCCACAACAAAGAATTATCTGGCCCAAAGTGTCAATAGTGCTGAGTTTAGAAACCCTAATATAGTGCAGTGCCCATTGGGACAGAACAAGACACTCCCAGACTTTTAACTAAATGAAATGATTTATTAAATGTTTATCCTTTTGAATTTGTTGGCTGGTGGGTTGTTTGGGCCATGCGTGGTTGCTTTTTTATTTCTTTGTGTGTTCTAGATAGGCTTATTTCATGGCTATAACTCCGTCCTCTTGTAACACCTGATATTAGCAACTTGGCATCTGATGTCTTGATTTCACAGAGTAGAAAACATACACTGGGTCTTGTTTCAAAATGGGTTATATTGTTTGACAGTGTCATAAAGAACTTGATACTGGTCAATTTTTATTTTTAAACTTGGACCTGCTGCCACGACTCTGTTTCCAGAAACTTGACTCTCAGCTCATCCTGTCACTTGCTGTGGCCCAGCCAAGTACTGACATGTAAGCCACCATTGCCGTGCTGTCCTAAATCCTCTGATGTCAAAGACACCAGTATCCAAGCTATTTCCATACACCTGCCATCCCACATTCTGAAAAGAATTTATTCCTAAACTCCTTAGGTACCAAAGGAGAGTGAGCAACCACCAGAGGTATTTTAACAACAGGAGTGGGTAACAAGGAGTGGAATTCTGATATCTCTGATTACTTAAAACACAAACAAACAAAAAACATGGACATTCTCAGGAAAAAATGGCCAAGAATGACTGACAATTCCCCCTCTGGCCAAGCTTTACCTAAATAATTGTCCCTGTTCCCTACCCTTACTCCCTGCATAGGTTTTCAGTTTGGCAAAGGATGATTTGATAGAAACAGGACATTCCATATATATTTTTCTCCCTCTATAAAACACATTTTGACAAAATGTCCATGAAACACCTTTGATGAGGTGCACTTCTGGACATTGCTTCCATCATAAATCCTGGGTCAGAGGGACCAGCCTCTTCCCACGGAATCCTGACCAATTATAAGCCGTGGACCCAGCCGGCGCCTTTCCTTACCAAAGGCTACAATTGTGCAAGAGCACTTGATGCATTTGTTGCTCTTATTAAATTCCCAATCCTTATGGCAAAGACAGGGATCTGGCTCTAAAGCACATCTGTTCAGCAAGGTGACAGTTTCCCATGAACACTCTTAACAGTCCTTGTTACGTTACTATAAAATACCAATGGGTGGAACCTTATTTTGCCAAATGCATTTTTTCTATTTTTGAGTTGGCTAAAGGGTTTTAGCAACTGAAGTCAACAAACATTGCTACACACACACACACACACACACACACACACACACACACACACAGATACACCTCTGAAATATATGTGGGTAATTGATAACCTTTACCTCAGGGAGTCTGTCCAGCTCTACCCAAGGGAAATGGCTCCAGTGGATGTAAACAACCACGTACCATCCAGGGACAGGACTAGTTAGAGGGAATGTCAGAGCAGGAAGGAGGCAAGCAGCCTCTTCTAGACGATAGTTTGCAAATGATAAAACAGTGAAATTAAATTGTATTCTTTTTCTGGGGGCCCCAATGAAGTCTCCTGCCCTTCTTGGACACCTGTGTCGTCATTTCTTAAATGGGGGTGATGCTTTCTTACTGGCTTCACCCATGCTACCTCACAAATGTGTTGTGAGGATTAATGAAACCATGTGTACAGTGTTTTCAGTTTCTGCAGAAAAATATTTATAGACATTTTAAGTACTTTAAGTATTACATAGATATGTAAGTGATCTCAGTTTCTTGTTTGTTGTTATACTGGTGTGTTGTTTTTACTGAAATCTATAAAAAGACAGCTGTGTCATAGCCACATCAGACAGCTGTGACAGCTTTAGGCTACCCCCCAGTGCAGCTGACTGACTGAGGGTGAACTATGCCTGGGACCACAAAGTTTAGTTTCCATCTCCACGTGAAGGATGGCCTTGGACATGGGTCTCACAGGCTTGAGTTAGGATCTAGGAGGTTAGGGTAGCACAGTATAGATACCTGAGCACTAACAGAAACAGACCTCTGGCCTTTACCATCCTGGGGTCTGCTGGCTTCTTTGTGGAGTTGATTTTGGTTTGATGGCATCTGTTTGCCCTCCATCATGCTTGCAAGGGTGCATGGTCCAATCCCTTGCATCTGGGAAATGGATTTTGCAACTGGGCCAGATGCAGATTTGCACGTTGATTCACCTTATTTGCCTTTAACGTCTTTTTTGGCAAATGAATGTACCATTTCAACTTTGATTTTAAAGTGCTACTTGCTATTGGTAATAGTTGTTAACCAAGAGACCAATGCCAGATTGCTTTCTTCGAGTGAGTTAGCTGGCATTATTTAAAGATGGAAAGGCGTGCAACTTCTTTGATATTTAATGTAATTGTATCTACATTTGTTGTAAGATGTATTGCATACCAATTATAATTATATCAATTAAAGTTGTTAAAGCTTGTGTCTGACAGTGGTGAGTCACATTTTGAAATGTTTTGTTATTCAAGCCATTTAGCCCAATACTGCTTATATTAAGTAGCCCTGGCTTGTTTTTATAGAAAATTTATCCCACATCAATATAAATAGTATTTTCTGCAGAGCAGGAAGGTCTCTCTGATCTTGAAAAAGAATTGAAGGGTATCAGAAATGAAGAAACTTCCCAAGCAGTGATTTTACTCTTAATTATACACCATGCCTTACAAAATAGATGTAAAAATAAACACTTTGATTTGATAAATAGATGGTGATGCATAATCAAGTCATATGAAAGCATGTTGGCATTAGCAGTCCATTTAATAGTACTTGGTTTGTTCTCCTTCAAAAAATTGCATTCAGCATACCCATTCTTATCTGACAGTTAAATGGCAAACAACATCAATCATCCAAAATATAATTTCATCCCCCAGAAGCTAACCAAAGATTATTCTGATTCTGAAGAAAACAGCAACAACAAAGCCACACATTATGCAACATAGGAGAGGAATGGAACCTTCTGCAAACTAGGGCTCATTGACTTCATATTGTATGAAGATTAAGGTCCAATTTAATAAGTTTAGGTACCTGGCTTCCAGGGACACAGCATGGAGGATTGAGTACGAAGAATCAAGACGAGGAATGAGGCACAAGCATGGAATAGACACTTTCCCACTGATTATTGGGTCATTTCTTGAGGACCTGCCATGAACACAAAAGCAAGTGAGACTCCATTATTCCAAGCTTGCCTGCACAGGATTGGTCAGAAAGAACTTTTAATGGTGCATAAAAAGAAAAGGCTTAAAAATATATAGTGTTTACATATTGTGAGTTCTTGGGTCCAAATCAATATTTTCCCCAGTATTATAGTTTTGCCAAGTCAGATCATAAACTGTCTCGATTATTTAGTAGCCTATTTCCAATCTTTTACCCTCCTGAAATTGCATAGTACTAACCAATAGCTAGGTATATTTTTTTGTCAGAAAGCATTGAGTCATAAATGATATTGGAAAAGCACCGATCAAATTGGAAAAAAACCTGGAAGAGGTATGATCTCTTAAAGGATCTAGATTTTGGCAAATGTAGAATGGACTACATTTATTGCACTAAACAGCATTAGTCAATTTTAGTCAACAAATGTACTGTGTTTCTATTTTAAGCAATACACTGAATATTTACTATAAAAAAGAAGGCATCTAATTAATATTCATTAGGGCCTATAGGTGCCTGTGGGCATTGTCTAACGTAATACATGTATCAGCTTTAGTGATCATTACATTGTCTCCATCTTACAGGTGGGGAAACTGAGGTTCTACTATATTGAACTCATTCATACATGTACTGAATCCTACGTACTTTATAATGTATAAGAGGGCTCGTGCTCTCCAAGCATTTACAGCTTAGTAAGTGTCAGAAGTGGGATTCAAACCAGGTTCATCTGTCACCAGAGTCCAGTCCCAAGGGACTGGTATCTGACATAAATATAACCCAGCTCTTAAGACTCTCACACCTCTTCCTAAAATGGGCCCTTCCACCCTTTACAAAGTCCCCACTAAGCTATTTTGGGCGGTCTTTGAGGGTGTCTGGCACGCAGCCCATAGCAAGCCCAGTCAGCTCCTGAGCACATGTCTGCTAACTCCTGCCTCCCATTCTCTGCCACGAGCGAGCCTGCCTTCCCCCACCCCATTGTTAGGGCATCAGCACAGGACCCTCTGTCTCCCAGGGTTTTAGTGAATACCTCTCTTAGTTTTCACTTGTGGACTCCCTGCTCTCCACAGGAGTCAGGTGTGGGTCCACAGCAGCCTAGACTAAGGATGCTGCCCTGGGAATCACTCCCCCTTACCCTCGGGCTCCACCATTGTGCCACTTGTCTCTCCTTGGTGTCATAATAATGATAGCTTACTCTCACTATGAGCCACATACTGTTCTAAGCACTTTGCCTGGATTATCATTCCTATAAGGTAGATGTTATTACCAACCTCGTGGTACAAATGAGAGAACTAAGGGCCCAAAAGGCACCGAAACTTGTCCCAGGTTATGCAGCTAGTATGTGGTGGAGCCGGATTCAAATTCCAGTGGTTAGCCTCCAGAGTCCATGCTCATGACCACTTCCACAGGGCCCTCACTGAATGCCAGAGGTTCCTGACACACACACTCGCCAGCCATCAGACAAGCCCATCTGTGTCTGAACCCAGTGTGGGACAACATGAGGCCAAAGCTGCACACCCAATAGAAGCAAGGTCCTTACCTGTAGGAAGGTTTCTAGAGTGGCCAAAGGGATCCACTCTTAGGGCACCACCCAGGCTGGCAGACTCGGCTGCCTCAATCTAGATCTGGCACTTCCAGCCAAGGTCACCCACTCGACATTCACCAACTCAGCAGCAGGGCTAACTCAACAGCAGGGAACTCTAGGCTGATGCTTCCCTTGTCGTCAAATCCACACAGCAACTGTGGTGAGACAGTCCAGACTGCTGTCCTGCCTCCCACTAGCCATTTCTCCCTTGGCACTTGGACAGAATTCACTGCAACAAACACTGCTGGGCAGAGCGTTGAAATGTTCAAGGAGGTCAGAAGCCAGGTGTTATGGGTGGTGTGAGAGATAAACGGCCACCCCACCCCCTGTGCCAGGACATCCAGCTCTGCAGCAGGAGTTCATCAGAGAAAACAAAACAAAAACAAAACAAAACAAAACAAAACAGGGCCGGCCAAGTGGCGCGATGGTTAAGAGCTGGCTTGGGACGCCAGAGGGCCTGGTTCGGATCCCACATATGAGGGCCAGTGACGCTGCCCTCTACAGCTAAGATGCTGAACAACAGCTCAACCTGGAGCTGGGTTGCCATGAGTCGCTGGCGTCGGCGTAGGATGCAGCCCTTGCTGCAGTGGGTTGCCATGCGCTACTGTGTGTAGCCAGCAGCCAGTGTGAGCGGCCAGCAGCCGCAGTGAGCGGCCGTCCACAGCCGGCGACTGATCTACCTCACCTGGAAAGAGCGCAATGATGGTGCCAACTTGGGCCAGTAAAGCAATGTCCTCCACAACTAGACTGAAGAACAAAAGGACAGCAACTTGTCTGTTCCCCTTCCCCCAATTCCCCAGCACTGTTCCCATCCCCTGAATTCCCCAATTAAAAAAAAAAAATCTTAAAGAAACAAACAACAACAACAAAAAAAAACACAAAAAACACTTCTCCATGGATTTCTGAGATATATTAAAATCTTAATACAAAGTTAATGATTTCATATAAAAATGAGCCTCACACTTTGCAAGAGCAGGAAGAGAAAAAGTGACAGAAGCCACTAGCAGGTGACTGCTGAAATTCTTGGGTCTCTAGGATGCTGCCATCATATCGGCTGCAGCAGTGCGGTGGAAGCCACAGCTGTGTCCACATCGGACAGCAACAGTTCCTGGAGAATTGTTTTGCCTTTTCCTTATCTCACAGGAGCTGCTCATGTGAACAAGCTCTAGCCAGCACCATACAGGAAAGGGGATTGCAAGAAATGTGGTTCCTGACTTCTCCTCTGTATTGCAAAGGAGATCTTATAAAAGGGTGGTAATGACGCTGAGCTGAAAATAAGCATATGAGCACAGTCCACCTTTCTTATCCCAAATGAGAACTTCCCCAAAAGGACAATAACATCATGTTATCCCTAGTGGATGCAACTGTCTATTACACAACTGAGGATGCACTGCCTTCCCCCTAAATAGAAAATGTCCCATGTGTCACTTTAGCTCTGGGAATATTCACTCCTACTTCACATGCAATCTTCTTTTGATAGCCTGTGACTTAAATGACAAATAATGAGGTTAACCACTTTATTGGAATTGAGGAGGGGGTAAGAAAGAAGAAAAAAAGAACTGATTTAGATAGATAGATAGATAGATAGATAGATAGATAGATAGATAGATAGATGATAGATAGATAGATAGATAGATAGATAGATAGAGAAATACCTATATACATATCAAAGCAAAGATGAGAAATGCATATTTACAAAAGACTTCCTTTCTGCAACTAATCATGTGACCCTGTTGGTATTTATAACTTTCTTCTTCCGATAGCCATTGCATGTTCCTTTTGTCCTCAGCCAACATCTCACCTGGTGATGGTTCTTTACATCTTTACAGGTGACTCAACCTTCTGTACAAATGTGAGTAAAACTTAGGGACTGGAAAAGAGAAAGGGTGCTACTGAACTAGATACTGTTTCTACCATTTAAAAAATTAAAAAAGAATAAAAAAATGAACAAAGGGAGGGAGGGAGGGAGAAAGGGAGAGAGAGAAAGAGACTCATATTGTATGTGATGTGTCAAATACTCTCCCCTCCCTGCTTTCCTTACTCTTTCCTC